ATGGGTGGATGCCAGAATCTGAATTTCTCTTGCTTGCCTCTAACATTTCTTGCTAAACCCCTCCTCTCCCTTTCTCTGTCATCTGAATTAACTCTAAAAATACCAGACAGTTCTGTATATCTTGTCAAAGCAATAATATCCTATATTAACAGCGTTGACAACGTCTTCAAAGAAAAACAAAGGAAGTCCAGTTGCCTCCTGAAAAAAAAGCACCTTTGGGACAACTGGGGAGATCAAATCCATTCTTAGCCACGGAAACTCATTACACGACTCTCTCTGCCCAACCTACCTCACAAGATTGTTGTTGTGGGGATAGGAATAAAGAAAGGTCCCCATGAAAAGGTGAGGGCTACGTCTAATAAATGCAGGGAATCCTCAAGTTACGACCATTCATTTGAAGTTACAAACGGCACTGAAAGAAATGACTTAAGACTGCTGCAGTATTCCTGCAGTCATGTGATCAAAATTTGGACACTTGACCTGTATTTAGGACAGTTGTAGCATCCGGGTATGTGTGTGTGTGTGACGTGATCACCCTTTGGGACCGTCCCACCGGGCTTCTGACAAGGAAAGTCAGTGGAGGAAGCAGGATTTATTTAACAACTCCATGATTCACTTAACCCCTCAATGATTCGCTTAGCAACTATGGCAGTAAAAGGTCCTAAAATCAGGCATGAGTCACCTGACAAGCAACTTGCTCAGCAATGGAAACTGTGGTCCCAATTGTCCCACAGGCAAGACGACATGGCAGCTCCTCATCAAGGGACTTGGTTAAAGGTTTTGAGGGTCTCGGAGTCTGTTGCTTCCCCATCGGCCTCCCAGGTAAACCAGACAGGAAACGGGATGAGCTAATTCTGCATTATTGTAAGGCTACAAATTACACACCTGGAATCCTGCATCCAGTTTTGGTCACCGCATTACAAAAAAGATGTTGAGACTTTGGAAAAAGTGCAAAGAAGAGCAACTGAGATGATTAAAGGCCTGGAGACTAAAACATACTGTACGAAGAACAGCTGCAGGATTTGGGAATGGCCAGTCTAGAGAAAAGAAGAAATAGGGGAGACATGATAACAGCATTCCAGTATTTGAGGGGCTCCCACAGAGAAGAGGGGGGGGGGGGGTCAACCTATTCTCCAAAGCACCAGAGGGCAGGACAAGAAACAATGGATGGAAACTGACCAAGGAGAGAAACCCAACCTGGAATTAAGGAGAAACTTCCTAACAGTGAGGACAATTAATCAGTGGAATGGCTTTCCTCCAGAAATTGTGGGTGCTCCATTACTGGAGGTTTTTAAGAAGAGACTGGACAATCACTTGTCTGAGATGGTATAGGTTCTCCTGCTTGAGCAGGGAGCTGGACTAGAAGACCTCCAAGGTCCCTTCTAGCTCTATTCTGATTGATTAACAGAATCTTGCAAATCTGAAAGCTTCAACTTTGCACTGCCACTTTTAACTTAGGTCCCTCCTGTTTCTTCCTCCGGCTATTAAGTCACTTGGAGCTCCTTTCTCACTTACCAGTTCATCTCCTAGGCAGCACCTCTTCCCTTCGTCCCCCAAGGTCTTCAATGCGTTCTGCTGCAGCCCTTCCTTAGCTCATCCCAATCCCATTGCTCTGGAATACAGAGAACAAACCAAGAGAAAACGGAGAGTTTCCTCTGATTGTGACAGAAAACCCCTCCTGCACCCAGAGTCAGGACCTTTCCAGTTGCTTTGGCACCATATTTTTTTGAAACCCACCATACGTAGCCCTCAACTTATGACCACAGTTGGAACTAGCAATAGCACTGGCACGTGATTTCAAAGACCAAATTCCACTCCCTTCTAGCACTGCTGATGTTAGCAATAGCACTTAGACAGTGCTATACATCCCGCTCTGAGTGGTTTACAGAGTCAGCCTCTTGCCCCCAACAATCTGGGTTCTCATGTTACCGACCTCGGAAGGATGGAAGGCTGAGTCAACCTGGAGCCGGTCAGGATCGAACTGCTGACAGTGGGCAGAGTGAGCTTGCAATACTGCATTCTATCCACTGTGCCATCATGGGAAGGAAGGAAGGAAGGAAGGAAGGAAGGAAGGAAGGAAGGAAGGAAGGAAGGAAGGAAGGAAGGAAGGAAGACGAGAGAGAGAGAGAGAGAGAGAGAGAGAGAGAAAGAAAGAGAAAGAAAGAAAGAGAAAGAAAGAAAGAAAGAAAGAAAGAAAGATAGCAATAGCCATTAGACTTATGTCCCACTTCACAGTGCTTTACAGCCTGCTCCAAGTGGTTTACAGAATCTGCATATTTGCCCCAACAATCTGTGTCCTCATGTTACCGACCTTGGAAGGACGGAAGGCAGAGTCAACCTAGAGCTGGTCAGGATCAAAGTAGAATTTTTGATTGCTAGGCAAGGCGGTTGTTATGTGAGTCGTGCCTAATTTTACAATCTTTTTGCCACAGTTGTTAAGTGAATTGTGTGGCAAATCTAGCTCCCTCCTCCCCAGAATTAGTTCTGTTCATATAAAATTTCTCATGCTGGCTGGGGAATTCTGGGAGTTTGAAGTCCGTGCGTTTTAACATTGCCAAGCTTGCAAAACAGTGAAGTAGAGCCTCTCATTCCAGAAGACTCTGTTGTAATAATCCTTTTGTGTCCTGTAGTGGAACGCCGACGCAGGGACAAGATCAACAACTGGATTGTCCAGCTGTCCAAGATCATTCCAGACTGTTCTATGGAGAACACCAAATCTGCACAGGTAAGAAAGGTTGAGCAGCTCTGCTATGGGGAGGTAAGGTTTAGGGTTAGTGATAGGGGCAAGATTAGTTTCGCCCTAGGCCTGGAAGCCAGCTGGGGGACTTTGGGCCAGTCTTTCTCTCAACCCAACCCACCTCACAGGGTTGTTGTGAGGAAAATAGGAAGAGGAAAGGGTGCGGATATGTTTGCTGCCTTGAGTTATCTATCAAACAATAAAGGCAGGATACGAATAATTAAAGACAAATAGTGACGTCAGTCTTCCCAGTAGTTCCCTTCACTGCCAAGAAGGCTAATGGGGAGCTTTTGCTTGAAATTGATCATACAGGAAGTCCTCGAATTACGGCCCCTTGTTCAGCCACCCTTCCAAATTGCAAGACACCTTGCTGATGTCACAAGTGTTCCCAGTAATCATGATCTGGGCACTTGGGTCTCCAACTCCAACCTGCCGATTCCTCACAAGCAAAGTCAACGGGGAAGCTGGCAGGGAAGGCCCCAAGTTGCCCTCCGAAGTCACTGCAGGGACACTCTGTAGCACCCCTGATGGCACGTGCGCACTGCTTGGGACTCTTACCTCTTCCCGCTTAACGACCCAAAGGTTCTGGGGTTATGACTGGAATTCTGTCCCCAAGCAATACAATCACATGACATCATGTTTTACAATCACATCATTTAGCGACCAACATTTTGTCCCAGTTGCTGTCGAGGACTGCCTCTACTGAATAGAAGGTGAAGGGGTTTCTGAATGGATGCTGCAGGATATCCTTGCAAGAGACCTCCAGCATTCTTCCTCATTGGCTTCTGCGGCTGAAGTGACATCTAGTAGACACCTGGAGGCCACAGATTCCTCCCCTTAGCAGATTTTGCACTGCCGGTGATCTAGTTAGTGATCTACTGGGCTGGTAACCATTAGCTCATTGGTGGTAAAAGAGTTATTTGTCTCCAGTCCAGGATGCTTGGGGAGTGATAATCCAGAAGGTTCCGCCTTCTCTTCATTAAAAGTGGTGACCAAATCCGTAATGATGGCTCCCCCAAAGTAGCTGAGGTTACTCTCTTGAGTCCCTTTCTCTTCTTCCTTCTGCAGAGTAAAGGAGGGATCCTCTCCAAAGCTTGTGACTACATTCAAGAATTAAGACAGAACAATATCCGTCTTTCTGAGGAGCTGCAAGGCCTGGAACAACTCCAGGTGGATAATGAAGTCTTGCGACAACAGGTAAGGTGAGACACCCCCTCCCCTATTTCTGGAGGGGACCCTCGATGCTCTGGCTTTCCCATCATGGGCTCCTCAAGGGTCTAGGATGAATCCAGCTGACCTGATTCACAGAACACACTTGCCATCTCATTCGCGAAACCCTTGGATGTTTAGACCAGTGTTTCTCAACCTGCTAGCTGGGCAATTTTGGGAACTGATGTCCACTCATCTTTTTATTTTATTCAAAAAAGGTTAAAAGGTTAAAATACAAATTTTAAAAGAAAACAAAAAACAAACGTGACATTGAAAAAAGGGTGCAAAAAAGAAGAAAAACCACACACACACGCACACACACACACACATATATATGTAGGTCTTTGGTTATTTGGGTTTTCTCCCATGTAAAATTGGAAGTGTCTTGGCCAAAGACCTACATACAAACACCCGCGAAAACCTCAGAAAACATATATATATATAATCCCCCCAGTTGAATATTGATTATAATGCATTACTGCAATATTGGTATCTCACCTCTTGTGAAACACACCTAGAAACTATTTTAAACTACTAAGCTATTTGCAAATTAGTAGCCTGTCATCCATATAGAGATCAAAACAGAACAGAATAGCAGAATTGGAAGGGACCTTGTTGGTCATCAAGCAGGAGACCCCATACCATTCCAGATAAATGTGTCTCTTCTTAAAAACCTCCAGTGATGGAGCACCCACAACTTCTGAAGGCAACTTCTGTTCCACTGGTTGATTGTTCTCACTGTCAGAAAATCGCTCTTTATTTCTAGGTTGAATTTCAGCTTGATCACCTTCCATCCATTATTCTTTGTCTGGCCTTCAGGTGCTTTGGAAATTGGGTTGACTTCTCTCCTCTCTGTGACAGCCCCTCAGATATTGAAACAGTGCTGTCATGTCACCCCTGGTCCTTCTCTTCACTAGACTAGCCATGCCCAGTTCTTGCAACCATTCTTTGTATGTTTTAGCCTCCAGTTGTCTAATCGTCTTTGTTGCCCTTCTCTGCACTCTTTCTGGATTCTCAACGGCTTTTTTATAGTGTGGAGACCAAAACTGGATGCAGAATTCCAAGTATGGCCTTACTAAGGCTTTATAGAGCGGTACTAGTACCTCAGGTGATCTTGATTCCATCCCTCTGACGGATGGGCATCCCATTAAGATGTCCACCCATCTCAAAATTGATAAAGCCCTAGTCTAGGAACCTCCATCTCTGTCCTTCTCTTCTGCTTGCAGGTCGAAGATCTGAAGAACAAGAATCTGATTCTACGAGCACAGCTCCGACAGCACGGCGTGGAGGTGATCATCAAGGAGTCCCACTGACCAGCCCCTCAGCGGCAGGGAGGGCCTCGCTCAAGACACGCTGCCCCCCTCTCGGCACAGCAGGAGGCTCTGATGCCCGGCTGCACCGGGGCTTCCCAGCCAGCCTTCCTCCCTCTCTCTGCCTTGTGCTGCATCGGAAGGCCGCGTCCCCCCCTCCCTCGGGGCCAGGGCTCAGCTCAGGACACTCGACTTTGCCCAGTGGCGCCTCTCGGCTCACCCCTTGGCTTGGCCCTCCGGGCTTGACGTTGACAAACGTACTCTTGGTTCGTAGGCCCCTAAAACGAATTCCCCCCCCCCCGAGTTGTGTTGATCCTCTCCCAGCCCTGCCATTTTGCTCAGCATTGCCGCCCGCTCGCACGCTTCCTCGGACGCCCCTTGCATGCAACCTCACGTAGTTCCCTTCCACGGTTCCCTACTCCCACCTGTGGACAGGGACCTCCGGGGACTATTCCCCTCCCAGGCCCTGCTCCTGCCAAGCGAGGGAGTGGAGCTCTGTGCAGCCCCTCCCGCTTGCCCTCTTTAGCCCCACCTTCCTCCTCTCCCTGGATGGATTCCGGAAGGCCGACGCTCGACGCTCCCTGTGGGGAATCCTCATTGCCAAAAAGAGGCAACGTTGCTCACGTGCAGAGTGCCCACGACCGGAGTGGGTCCCGAGTGGTCGCTCTCTCGAAGATGATGCATCTAACGATCAGGATAGCAGTTCTCTTTTTTTTTCGTTTTTCTCTTTTTTTAAAAAAAAGAACAACCTGCATTTGGGACAAAAAAAAAAGGAACATAATTAAATAGCTGCCTTGCTGGGTTCATTTTTGTTTGCTCTTCTTCAGGTGTGGCTGGGGTCTGTCCGGGGGGGGCGGGGGAAGGTTGGCACCTGGAGCCCGTTTGGGCAGGTTTGTGTTGGCTCTCTGCCCACTGTTGGCAGGGCTGGGGTGGTGGGGGTGGTCCGTAGGCAAAGAGAAAGGGTGCCTGGTGACCCCAAATCTCTCTTCCAGCAACGGGTGAATCTTGTAAGGTGTCCCAAAGTTATGCTGTCCTGCCTCTGGCAAGCAGCAGTGATGCCAATAGAAGGGAAGGCTTATAGCTCGGATGGACCGGGGCATCCTCGGTGCTCCTGCCTGGGCTTGGTGGTTTTCTTGCAGACGTTTCATGACCCAACTAGGGAACATCATCAGTGCTAGGGGGGGTGGCTTTGTGGAGAGGAGGAGGGAAGAAGTGAGGGAGGAAGAGGAAGTGGAGGACTTGTGGGATCCTTGGTGCTCTCTGAGGTTAGTTATTTTCTTGCAGACGTTTCATTACCCAACTAGGTGATATCGGTATGGCTTGCCGTGTTGGGGTGTGTGAGTGTGGTTTTCTCCTGGGTGGTTCCTTGATTGGGGTATTGTTTTCTGTGTGAATGTATGTCTGATGGTCATGTTACCTGAAATCAACAAAGATGGCCAGATCCCATTTCCCTTTCCCTTTAAATGAGAGTTTTTCAAATTCAGTCAAATCTCTTAAGCGATGCACGTTTTGGGCCACTCATTTCAATATTCTGAAAGCTCTCAAGTGAACCAATCCGGCTCTTGTGTCATGAAGAGTCCCCAAAGATTTTTATCTTTGTCTTGTTTACAGTCCAATCTTGCCATTTGAATATATTGTCCTGTCTCCACTGAGCACCCTTCTCCGTGTTTTGTTCTTCATAAAAGCAAACATTTAATAACGAGGAAAGAAAAGGAAAAAAAAATCTGGACTTAACCCTTTCTTATACTCATCCCAGACAGTCAGTACATTACTTATTGCTGCAAAGGTTATTATGCAGTAAAATGTTCCTTATTTTATTAACCAGAGATACTGTTCCTTGCCCAGAAGGAGTCAGCTGACCGTAAAGAGAGAGAACCCATAATCCATGTTAAGGAACTGGCATGGTAGTACAATGTAAAGTCTTGGAGCTGTCAATCCAACTAAATCTTCTGGGTCTTGTAAACTCTTGAATTTAATCCTTTTGTAAACGGAGACGAGGGTCCATGAGACATCCAAGGTGGACAGATCAAATAGGTCCTTTTACCTGCCGAGATCTGGGTCACAGGTTAACTCCCCGGGAACCGGGACGGAAATATTCCCCATTGTTCAATTGTCTCTCAGCAGCTCCAAGACAATAAATTAGACCTAATACAGGCAGGCCTCAACCTAACAACTACAGTTGGAACCAGGGTTTCCATCGCTAAGCAAGGCGATGATTGAGTGAGTCCTGCCTGATTTTACAACTCCCCCCCCCCACAATTGTTAAGTGAGTCATTTCAATTGTTTCACTGAATCACACAGTCCCTAAGCGAATCTGGTTTTCACCATTCACTTGGCTTGTCGGAAGCCAGCCCGGAAGCTCACAATTGTTGATCACGTGACCCTGGGATGCGGCGACGATAGTAATTACATGCCAGTTTGCCAAGCATCTAAATTTTGATTATGTGGGGATGCTACAACCTAAGTCGTAAGTGCGAGGACCGGTCATAAGCCATTGTAACTTCAAAGAGACGGTAAACAAGTGATTGTAAGTTGAGGACTGTCCGTATGTAGCTGCCTATCTGAGTCCGGCCACTAATCCCCTGGGATGGGCCGGTAATTGTCAAGATGGCACCCTTCCGAGACCGCCTTCTGCCACAGATTACCCCCCACCGGCCGATACGCTCCCACAGAGAGGGCCTCTTCAGGGTGCCGCCAACCAGACAGTGCCGGTTGGCGACCCCCAGGGGGAGAGCCTTCTCTGTCGGAGCACCCACCCTCTGGAACGAGCTGCCCCCAGAGATCCGGGTGATTCCGGATCTCCCCTCCTTCCGCCGCGCCCTCAAGACCTGGCTGTTTCAGCAGGCAGGACTGGCCTAGGGGTAATTTTAAATTGGTTTTAATTAAATTTTAGTAGTGCGGCCAATTCGAATATTTATTTTTAATTTATCTTAGATTTGTATTTTGTGTAATTGTTTTAACTGGCTGTAAGCTGCCCTGAGTCCTCCGGGAGAAGGGCGGGGTATAAATGAAATAAATCCTAAATCCTAAATCCCATAAGCCACTGCTTCCTTCCCCAGATGAGGAGGCGGGGTTGAATTGAACTCCCCCAAAACAAAATTTGCTGGCTGGGGAATTCTGGGAGTTGAAGTCCTCAAGTCTTAAAGTGGCCAAGTTTGAGAACCCCTGGTCTTAGAGACCTCTAATATCCACCCTGAATCAATTCTTAGTTTGTACAGGTAGTCCTTGACATACAACTACAACTGAGCCCCAAATTTCTCTTGGTAAATGAGACTGTTATTAAGTGAGTTTTGCCCCGTTTTATGACCTTCCTTGCCACAGTTGTTATGTTAGTCACACAGTTGTTAAGCGAAACTGGCTCCCCCATTGACTTTGCTGGTCTGAAGTTCACAAAAGGGGATCACATAAACCCGGGATGCTGCGACCGTCATAAATATGGGTCAGTTACCAAGCATCTGAATTTTGATCACGTGACCCTGGGGACGGTGCAACGGTCGTAAGTGTGAAAAACGGTCATAAGACCCTTTTTTCAGTGCCGTTGACACTTTGAATGGTCACTGAACGAGTGGTTGTTAAATTGAGGACTACCCGTATTGGTTTTTTATCGTTGTAAACTTTAATAAAATTATTATCAACAGAAGTTTTTAAAGTCCCTGCGACAAGCTAAGCAGCTCGGGCGAAGCTGCCCATCAGAGAGACCCCTGATGTGTCTCCAAACCCCAACCTCACCAATAGCACCTCCAGACCCAGTTTCATGCTCTGGTCACTTGAGAATGTGCTGGGTGACCGCAGTCATTGCGTCCCCCCTCCTTTTGGGTCCCCTTTGCTGGACGGTCTCCGCTCAGCTGGTGCAGCCACAGGCACCGAAAGGGTGTCGGAGAGCTCTTGGTTGTTGAATAACAAGACCTTGAAAGCTTGCCAGGTGCCTCTCATCCCTGTTTCAACAAACCCAAGGCTGGGTTATGCTGAGTCTCTTCCTCATACCTTGTGTATTGTGTTGCCACAAAATAAAAAAGATGTTGAGACTCTTAAAAAAGAGTGCAGAGAAGAGCAACAACAATGATTAGGGGGCTGGAGGCTAAAACGTATGAAGAACATTTACAGGAATTGTGTGTATGTCTAGTGACAAGAAGGACCAGGGGCGACATGATAGTATCTTCCAATATTTGAGGGGCTGCCCCAAAGAGGAGGGGGACAACCTAGAATTCATGCTTCCCATGCTGAATTTGCCTTGTGATACAAGTCAATGCTGAGTATTGATGAAAGAAGGTTTCTTGTAATTATTAATTTAATATTGAGGAAAGAATCTCTCAAAAATGTGCAGAGAAGAGCAACAAGGACAATTAGGGGGCTGGAGGCTAAAAGACACTAAGAACAGTCGCAGGAATTGGGTATATCTAGTTTAATGAAAAGAAGGACTGATGGTGCCATGATAGCAGTTTTCCAATATTTGAGAGGAGGGGGTCATCCTATTCTCCAAAGCACCTGAAGGCAGGACAAGAAGCAACGTATGGAAGCCAATCAAGAGAGAAGCAACCAGTAATTAAGGAGAAATTTCCTGGCAGAACAATTAGCCAGTGGAACAACTGGCCTCCAGAAACGTGGGTGCTCCCTCACTGGAGGTTTTTAAGAAGAGATTGGACAGCCATTTGACCAGGATGGTGTAGAGCAGGGGTGTCAAACTCACAATGTCACGTGACGTGTCGTGATGCATCGCGGCTTTTTTTCCATTACCGGCAATGGGGTGGGCACAATTTCAGCATGACACATCCAGCCCGTGGGCCGGCAGTTTGACACCCCTGGTGTAGAGTCTCCTGCTAGAGCAACAGCTGGACTACAGGACCTCCAAGATCCCTTTCAGCCCTATGATTCTATGAGATAAATAGACAAACAGACAGACAGACAAGCCTTCCTCTCGGAGTTCTGGGTGCTCCATCACTGGAGGTTTTTAAGAAAAGATTGGACAGTCATTTTTCCTGGATTCAATAAGGTCTCCTACCTTGAACGAGGGGGTCAGACTAGAAGACCTCCAAGGTCCCTTCCAACCCTGATAGTCAACGATTCAACAATAGAAACCTAAAGGTTTTCAAGAAAAGGCGGGATGGTCTCCTAGGACTCCTGCTTGAGCAGGGGGTTGGACTAGAAGACCTCCGGGAGCCCTTCCCGGCCCTAGGAGTCTAGGTTTCCATGTTCGAAGGAGAAAAAGAAGCCGTAAAAGAAGCAGCCATCCACCAATCGGGCCCGGGGAACTTTGGACCAAAATCCAACCCGGGTAGCGACGCCCAGCTGAGCCCGGCTCCTTTGCAGCTGCTCCAGGGAAGGTCGGGCTCTTCCCCCAGCCAAGGAGAGCCCCTCCAGCACGAGACCCCCCCCTCGTCTGCCCCCCTCCCGCGGGGGCCTCACCTGGGCAGGGGGCGGTGACGGGCGGGCGGCTCAGCCAATGAGCGCCTCGCCTGCGCTCACCTGCGCACCTGGGCAGCGGAGCGAGCTGGCTGCGGGCAACGCGAGAGAAGCGGAGATGGCGGCGCACGGCTGGCTCTGGGGGTGCCTCCTGTTCGCAGGTTGGGGTGAGTTGGGGCGATCTGGGCAGGGGGGGAGGACAGCCAACAAAGGCACGAGTTCAAGCCCTTGGGCTGCGGGAATCCCCCCACTTCGGGATCTCCCCGGGGGGGGAGAACAATCCCACTAAGAATTGGGGCCACGGTGGAGAATTGGGGTGACTAAGCGCCCTGTAACACTCCCCCCCCCCCCCGCTCTTCTTAAAAACCTCCAGTGATCAATCAGCATAGAGCTGGAAGGGACGTTGCCGATCTTCTAGTCCAACTCCCTGCTCAAGCAAGAGACCTTCTACCCCTTGATTTGAACTCTTTTGGGGTGGGGGCGACACCAGCTATTGTTTGACTGGGGGGACTATTTTTCAAAGGATCAAGATTTCTCCCTCTTCCCTCCCCCCCCTTCCTGCTTGGCTACTGTTTTTAATGTTGTTTTCTGAAAGGAGAGGCTTGGAGCTAAGCCACGGTTTGTTTAACCAAAGATGAAGCAGCGAAGGCAGTTGTGTTCACACAATGCTGTAAACACGTGTTTCTCAACCTTGTCACTCTAAGATGGGTAGACTTCAATTGAGAAACGCTCCTTAAACTTTCAAGACTGAAATCAATTCCGCATGGATTTATCATATTGAGTCAACTGGCCTTTGTTTTTCTTAAAAGTACACAGAAAATAGACTGTGTCCAAATCATAGATTCCAATTCCCAATCTAAACCAATCCAGGGTTCCTGCTACTAAGCTGGCCTCTGCCTAAAGGGGCCAACTTAGTTGGCAAACTTTAATGGCGGTCTATTTGATTGAGTTAAAATCCTGCTCATGGGCCCAGCTCTCTGGCTTTGGATCTCTTTTGCTGGTTCCTGTTTGCAGGGGATAAAGATAAAGATTTCGAAAGAAAAGTGCCCGGTAGACATGTGGAGGAGGGAGGGGGAGTTTCAGGGCTAACTCCTGCGGGATGTTGTGGGTGGACAAAACAGGGTTTCGTTCCTGATAAATACACCAACGAGCTGGGAATTAAAACACAAAAAGTTGCTGGGCACTTTTGAGTCACTTTTCTCTCTTGGAAAATAATTGTTGAAAGGGAGGGCGAGAACAAGCCGGGTCATGTTTCTGTTGCTCTTTCAAGCCACACCTGGGTTTTTCTGGAAAGGTGAGCGGCACACGGACACTCCCCCCCCCCCCGCTGCCACCCTGCCTGGCCCAGATCTACTTATCGCTCCTGCCATTGGGGATGGGATGTCTTGGAAGTTTAGGATCTGGGGGTTCCCAAAGGCTTTTTCAAAGGGGATTAGGACTGTTTCTGACCCGCATTGGGAAAACCGCAGCAAAGTGGTTGGGTTGGGAGAAAGAAAAAGAGAAAAAAGGCAAAGAGAAAGAAAGAGGCAAAGAGAAATAGAAAAGAAAAACAGGCAGAAAGAAAAAGAAAGAGAGAATGAGAGAGAGAGACAGAAGGAGAGAGAAAGAAAAAGAAACACAAAGAGAGCAAAAAGAGACAAAGAGGAAGAGAAGAAAGAAAGAAAGAAAAAGAGAAAGAAAGAGAAAAAGAGAAAGAAAGATCTCAAAATGGATGACAGAGAAATAATTTTAGCTATCTTCCATGGCAGCTTACAGTAATCTTTGCACAGCAGCTCCATTACTGTAATGACAATTTTAAAAAGCAAGAACAAAATACCAATGAAAAGCTTCCCAAATTGGTATCTATCGCCATAAGGCAAGAGGGCTGCAACCTAGAAAAGATTGGGCCAATTAGAGGCTGCTTACCTGGAGCCAGAAAGTGAGTGGAAATGTCTGATCTTTTAATATGTAGAGAAAGGCTAGGAAAAATACAGGTAGCCCTAGGGTTGCGACCACAGTTGAGCTCAAAATTTATGTTGCTAAGTGAAATGTTCGTTAAGTTAATTTTGCCCCATTTTATGACTTTTCTTGCCACAGTTGTTAAGTGAATCATTGCATCTGTTAAGTTAGTAACAAGGTTGTTAAGTGAACCTGGCTTCCCCCATTGGCTTTGCTTGGCAGAAGGTCACAAAAGGGGATCACGTGACCCTGGGACTCTGCAACTGTCATAAATGTGAGTCAGTTGCCAAGCGTCTGAATTTTGATCACAGGACCACGGTGATGCTGCAATAGTCATAAGTGTGAAAAACGATCATAAGTCACTTTTTTCAGTGCTGTTGTGACTTTGAACGGTCACTAAATGTAAGTCGAGGACTGTGTGTCCAACAAGACTCCAAAGACGTGAGGTAGGATTCCCCATTTTGAAAGGCAGAAGAAGATGGGCCAGCATCTTCTATATATAGAGAGAGAGCAGTGGTGGCGAACCTATGGCACGGGTTCCAGAGGCGGCACTCAGAGCCCTCTCTGTGGGCACGTGCGCTGTTGCCCCAGTCCTAGGCCTTCAGCTGGGTTTTATAAAACCTTTTCGCTTTAGGCTTCTGCTGCCGTGTGCAAAAAAAAAAGGTTCAATCAATCAATTTCAACTTCTCACGGGAAAAAAAAAGTTCTTGCAAAGTTGGAATTGATTGATTGAACTTTTTAGTCCCACCCAGTCTGCCGTTAGCACTGCAGCCACACCCACCCAATGGGCCTCACCCACCCGGCACCCGACGATGCATAAGTGGGTTTTGGGTTGCAGTTTGGGCACTCGGTCCCTAAAAGGTTCGCCATCACTGATATAGATATATATCCCTCTTCCCAGATTATTCTGTAACTTGTGTAGTTATTTTGGTTAATCAGAATTTCCCAATTTTTGTGGGGTTGCATGAAAGATTTAAGCGATGTAGCATCTTTGATCCGGTTCTCTCATCCTAAATGATTTGCAAAGATTTGTGGTGGCAAAAGGAAAAAGTCATCAGAAGAAGCTAATTTTGGCAGGAAACTCTTCTTGATTGGCTCAATCCTGTTTCTGGCTTTTGGCCAATCAAGCCTGGAGTTTTGGTCAACGGAAGCCCCTGGGGGGATGTTTGCATTACTGAGAAAATGTGAGACAAACAAAGGTGGATGACTCACTTCAGGGAGAATCCAAATGGAAGATTTGGAATTTTATTTAGCTTCTTTTATGGTTCATTTATTTTCACTTAAGGGGGGAGGGAGGGAAGGAAGGAAGGAAGTTGAGAGGGAGGAGAAAGAAGGAGAGAAGGAAGGAAGTTGAGAGAGAAGAGGGAAAAGAAGAGAGAGAAGAAAGGAAGAAGAAAGAGAAGGGAAAAGGAAGGCAAAAGAAAGAAAGAAATAGAAGAAACAGAAATAATTTTAATTAACTTCTGTGACAGTTTACATTCATCTTAGTACAGGAGCTATTCCTACTATATTTGCTATTTGTTTCTCTGATGGTGTAACTGTTGGTTTTTTTGAGTTTCGGTGGATACGGGAGTCTGGCTTTTCGGTTGGGAGGAGACTGGCTTTTGCATCCATTTCATGAGAACGAGAGCAGAGATTGGTTTCTCCCTCACTAACAATATTAGCTGTCTTAACTTTTCTTTTTGGCTTTAATNAGCTATTCCTACTATATTTGCTATTTGTTTCTCTGATGGTGTAACTGTTGGTTTTTTTGAGTTTCGGTGGATACGGGAGTCTGGCTTTTCGGTTGGGAGGAGACTGGCTTTTGCATCCATTTCATGAGAACGAGAGCAGAGATTGGTTTCTCCCTCACTAACAATATTAGCTGTCTTAACTTTTCTTTTTGGCTTTAATATGTTGACTTAGTTCGTGCTGAATCCCAGAAAGATCAAAGGTGCCAGATCAGAGCAGGTTTGCAGAGAGATAGAATGAATTGGAAGAGAAGCCTCTTCGGGAACTGCCTAAGTGAATCAATCAATCAGAACAGAATTGGAAGGGGCCTTGGAGGTCTTCTAGGGAAGAGGTACCAACCTTTTGGGCACCAGGGACCGGTTCTGCAGAGAGAGGTTTTTCCACGGCCTGGAGGATGCATGATTTTGTGTGCTGCGCACATCCCATGGATGGGGCTTTGGTTGTTTGTGCGGCCTGGTTGCTTGCATGCCGCAACCTGGTACTGGTCCACGGACCAGGGGTTGGGGACCCCTGTTCTAGTCCAACCCTCTGCTCAAGCAGGAGACCCTAGACCACGGGTTGGCAACCTGCGGCTCCGGAGCCACATGTGGCTCTTTGAGCCTTCTCCTGTGGCTCCCAGCCTCCTCCGCCATTTGCAGAGAGAGAGACAGAGACAGAGAGAGGCACTTGTGCTTCCCCCCTCTGTGTGTGTGTGTGTGTGTAAAAAAGAGAGTGGCCTCACGCTGTTCTCAGACAAGCTGACAAGCTTGTTGGGCGGGGCTCCTGGTTTGGCTGCGTCTCAGCAGGAAGCAGCACAAAGCAGCATCTCTCTCACTCTCACTCTCACACTCTCTCTCTCTCTCTCCTTCCCTCCCTCCCTTTTTTCCTTCCTTCCTTTTTTCCTTCCTTTTATCCTCTGACAATTATACAGTCTGACGATAACTATCAACAGTTCTCCCAGGCAAGTTATAAAATGAAATAAGTAGAACAAAATAGTAATAACATCTAGGTTAAACTGCAATATTTCATCATTTGTCTCTTTATAGCATAGGCTTTAAAATGGAATTTGTCCATTTTAAATTAAAGCAACATTGGAGTCTGAACTGAAATATAAAATTTATTCCAGTATTTGAGGAGCTGTCTCAAATGTTAAATCTAGATTTAGATTTAAATCTAGCTTTATAGAATCCGATTCTCAGCTTAGGGAAGGTTAGGTTTAGCAAGAATATAAAGAGAATTTACTTTATACGGTCTCCTGTCTTGATCAGGGGGTTGAACTAGAAGACCTCCAGGATTACTTCCAGCCCTGGGATTCTATGTTTCCCACGCACCCAGTCATATTCCTGGGCAGCATGCCCATTGATGAAGTACCTAAAACCAGCAGAATAAGAAAAAAAAATTATAATGTCACTGCTGACAAGTGATCCTCAACCTAGAAAGCCAGCAGCTCAACGACATTTGGAAGTTCTACTGTCTACAGGTGGTTCTCGTCTTACAACAGTTCATTTAGTGACTGTTC